AAAAAAAAAAAAAAAAAAAAAAAAAAAAAAAATTTGTCTGGAACGAATCAGCTGAGAAAAAGGAAAAAAATGCAAAATTTAATAATAACATTATTCTAACTGACAACGAGGAATGGGCGGCTTCAAATCGATGTCTGCTATGAACCACCAACTGTAACGATCGTCGCCCGCACACCGCTTCATGCTTAGACCATTCTCTTTGTCTGTGATTTTGTGCCTGTATGGGATGTCTGTTTGTATGGCATGCATGAACATGTATGTATGTGTATGTGTGTTTGAAGCGCCAAGACGAGAGCAGAAGGATGGTGTGCATGTGAAAGAATTTGTAACAAAAAGTAATCAATCAATTTGATCAGTAAAAAACGAAAATATTCCAGCTATTTTTTCGCTTCAGGTCAATTTACAAAAAAAAAAATTTTCTTTTTTAAAGCGAAATAAAAGAACGGAGAGAGGGGGCAAAACTCGGTATGCAAGATGAAGGGAAAACGCAGAAAGGAGTTACCACCTAGCGGATTAGTAGCAAAACAGTAGCGGCCACAGCTATAACTGATAATTATACGGAGAATCAGCATGATAACCGGAAATGAACACCCACACAATCTTCCTTCTGTCCCCCCCCCCTTCCCCTCGGCTTCTCCTTGACTATGAAGATACATGTCTGATATGATGACTAAGCGAATGATTAAGTAACAAAGCAAACAATACTTTTTTATCAAATACAATTTTTATTACAAGCTATGCCTACGCACGCATGTGCAGCAGTCCGCCTGTGCTTCCCATCTCCCCCGCATCCCAATTCTTTTTGCCCCATGTAAAAACTAATAAATTATAATAATAATAAACAGATCACGATTTAATTCACGATAATCAATAAATTATAGTAGTAAATACAAAATGAATAACGGGAACGCTGAGTTGGAATAATTTTCGCTTGATCTACGAAGCAGCTGAGAAAACCAGCAGTCCAGCTATGATTTTTGTAATCTTTTCAACAGTACTAATTACACAGCAGAATGTCAGAACCATCTTCTAAACAACTTCCCGCCGTTTACCACTGTAGAGTGCCATATCGTTTTTTCTAATTTTTTTGGACCGTCCATTTGTTTTAGGATTACGATTTGGCTTTCTAAACGGCCGCAAAAAATTTTTATTCCAAATGTTCACTGGATTTAGCAAATACCGTTCCGCTGAATTACAAGTCTCGTGCAAGCGGTTTTGTTCTGTATCAAAGTAATGCTAGCCCAGTGCTACTTTTCTGAACGCCAACCCAATAACTACTGTGTGAACAAAACGCATCCGTTACAAGTCCGAAATCTGCTGACTAAAACTGTTTCAAAACTCTTCTTCTGGGAACAGGGAATCTTCACAAAATCGCCTCATTCCCAATCTAACCATCCCACGTTACTTTCTAATACAGCTGTCGCTCAAGCGTCTAAAGACGACAGTGCTGTCATGGAGGAAGCCCACTTTTGCAAATCAGTTTGAAAAAGGAAGGAATCGAATCACTTGTCTTCACATTCATAAGTGACGTGCTAAATTACTGCACACCACCATCGGTTCTTGTGCTTCAAGCTTAACCTGGAAATGCTTCCGGTGTATATGTGTTTCTAAGGCAAAATTTCCTTATCTCAGCGGAGATAAAGAAATATACTGATATATTTCAAATATACTGATAAAAGATAGTTTACCGATAAATGTGCTGATAAATTTATACTAACGCAATATACTGACAAATATACTTTTCTTTCTTATATAATGATGCACGTTTTGTAAAGTTTCTTTCAGTGCCGGTTTTTCGCAGCTTTTGCACTCCATTTTTCATATTTCACTTAAAGATCGACTTCAGCAACTAGCACTTTTCCATGACGATAGCGGTTTCGGGAACTACTGCCCTCCCAAACATGGTACTAGTGCCCGAAACTGCCGTCATTTGTGATCCACTAGTACATGCAGTATGTTGGAAATCCAGGTTGCTTTTCACCACATTCCCAAGAGGTTTGAGCCGAAACAGATGCTGCTTACTGCCATATGAACAGAAACCGACTTCTGCGTTCTCCCGCTCTTCATCTTTAGAGAATAAAATACTATGGAAGAGGAAGATGAGGAAAAAGCAAGGGTTCGAGTATAAAAATGAAAATAACGATAACCTTCTTCAATTTGCTTCACTTCTTTTTCCGTTTCATCATTGGTGCTGGGCTCCAAAACACCCGTCACTTCAGGATTTTCTTCTATTTCTTTTGTCATTTCTGCAGAAATGAGCAAAATCATGAGCACAGGTCAACATTTACAGTGTCATCTAAATTCAACGGCTCTCTCTCTCTCTTCCCCGCAGTTTTCATATTTTTTCTTTTTCCTGACAAATGCGACTGATGGCTCAAGACAAACGCTACTTGGCCTTCCTTGGTATCAAAAACTCCCTGGAAAAAATTCTATTTCACATTTTCCTGCATTTCCTTAATATTCCTCTCCTCAATCATTCTCTTTTCTTAACGTTCTTCATTCTCATTCTTTTTAACGGATCAGTCTCTCCCGGCATGCCGCGCAATGGAATGCAACTCCTAAAAGGAAACCTCATCTCTTTGTAGTATGGAAATACACACACTTCTCTTACTATAAGTAAATTGCAGCTTTCAGGCCAACCCTGGAAGTGCAGACGGCAGGATGCACAAGTGCAGGAGACAGTAAAGAAGAGAGTGAGATAAGATGTTTCGGTGTATAAAAACAGCTCGTTTCGCCAATAATCGGTGGATTTTGTGCGCCAGTGAGTGGTGTCCGCGAAAAAGAAAAAAACGACTACTCGAGTGATCCTGAAGGGATGGCGCGCATACA